TAATAAATCAAATAAATAGATTAAATCAAATAAATATATGAATTGCTTTGCAGACACGGTCTATACATTGTTAATTTGACACATCTCTTCTCGAACCGCCCATAATAATTGATAATGTTGAGCTAATTGAATAGCACACATGCCTTCTGGTCTGTAGAAGAGTTCTAACCATTTCTGTTGTATGACCTTTGCAGCTCGAATCTTTTTACCAATTTCTCTTGCACGTTCGATTTTTCTGATAGCGTTTTGCATCCACAATTTATATTAATATAATGCATACATATCATTAAAATTAAGTGTCGAGACACTAGCTCTGCTATATGCAGAATTGGATTTTTGCTTGATTTTCAAATATTCATCATAATTTACACCACAGTATTTATTACCGGAACATGAAAATTTCCAATGTCTTTCCATTCCTATATGATTATAATTACCTATATTTGCAGTCCGTTCTCCAGTATATATTAACTAGTCACAAGAGAAGCAAATTGCTAATCCAATTTCAGGAGCATATGTACCTAGAGTAGAGACTAGTACCAATTTCCTAGCTTCAAGATATTTTTTGCTTTCAGTAGGCAAAAGATCATTCTTTCTGAAATACTGTAAGCGAGGCCAAATTCGATCCATCCACTCACTGGGCGTTTCATTATCACGAACTTGTGGCATTTTACAATCTTCATACCATTCAGCATCAGTACAATTGGTTCTACGTAATTCACTTAAGTTAACCATTTTATATGACTTATTTGTAGTGATTATGGAAGTTATATGTAATTTATATCATATTTAGGGGATTTAGACCTATTAGATTTAATAACTTTATACATTATGAATATGCGATTCAATTTTAGTGCGATTTGATTTTGAAACCATTTCTTTAAGAATATTGTATTTTGCAAGGAATAGATGTCGATAACGAATCATTATTTTCTATTTGTCGATATGCCTCAAAGAGGCATCCCTGAAGGGCCAGATTTTATAGGTTTCGATTCCTATAAACAAGATACATATAAAATTAACAAATGATAGCTATGGTAGATCATGAAAGGAGATTCTATTCGGACATATAGTTTATAATAACTTGTGTAACTTGACATTTCTGCTAAAATAATTAACCTATCATGTGATATGTGCTATAGAAAGAATTCGAATGTAATAGAACCTGCATGCATATTAGGTCATGCGAACAATGCATATGTGAAGTGCAAATTTCAAATTCGATAAATTAACACATGGCTCATTCTTTGTAGCCCCTGAGGCAGTATACGCGTTATTTAAAGGAAACTACGTGTTTAAGGGTTCGCGTTTTTTTACGATTCTTATACTTTTTCTTACACCTCAATCCTATATTTTTTACTAAGTTTTTTGTATTAACATGTCATCTCAAATCACTTCATATTTAACAAAATATCAAAATAAATCTTTTTGGGGCTTTTTACTCCGTTGTCGAGACGCGGTTGTTGCTACTACTTCACCTACTTCTCGTTGGGAGGATCTCGATCACACCTGGGCTGTTAGATTCATATTAGAAGCAGGAAAGTTAGGAGAAGATTTAGAAGAAAAGGTGTGTATTTTTTTATTTTGCAAGGTTAGGGTAACTTCTAATCGAAGCGCAATACGCGCATTCAACCTAGGAGAACTACCGGGTATGACAAGTTGGTAACCACTCCAGGTTCTCTATTCGGGCACCCTAACTTTGTTCATTGGTAAAGGTCTGCGGATTCCGGAGGAAGAATCGGTTATGTGTCTTCCTTTTGGGGCATGCCGTTTATTATCTGATTTCTCTATACTATAGGGTTCGCTCTAAACCATTTGATTTTTGGCATGCCCTTACCACTAAATAGAAATTACACACTTAATAAAAAAATTGCACACTGTTAACATTGATAACTGCTTTTCTTACAATAGATCAATTCGGAACGGCGACGCTATAATTTCGAGGAGTATTGGAACGATATAATCCTGGGATGTAAAATAGTAAGTAAAACCACTTATTTTACATTTATTATCAGCTTTAATATTATACTGTATATTATTCTTAATTATTCTGAATTAGAAACGAGACATCCTGAACATTAAAGCAGAAATAGAACATATTCAGTCCATGCTATCTGATGCCAATGACAAATTAAAAATGAAGGAAGACGAATTCGCTGGAAATTCAAGTAAATGGAAAGAGGGTTCAGTCAACGAAAATAATTTTTTAGATGGTGGTGATGTTTTGGATGGCGGCGATATTTTGGATGGTGGTGATATTTTGGATGACGGCGATATTTTGGATGGCGACATTTTGGATGGCGACGACATTTTGGATGGCGGTGATAATTATGGTGATGGTGACAACGGCAGTGGTAATAACAACACTGATAATAATATTGACAATAATAATAGCAGGAAGAATAATAATAACAATAATAATAACAATAATAACAATTATAATAATAATTGTAATAACAATAATAATAATAATAATACTAGTAGCGGTGTTGGTGGTTCTGGTCGACGAAAAAGGAGGAATAAAAAACGACGGGATAATAATAATAATAATAGTAATAGTAATAGTAATAATGATGATAATGATGATAACGATAATAATAACAATAACAATATCGATAATTATGATGGTTTTGATAATAATTACGGCAACCATAGTGGTGGTGGCGGTGGAGGTGATAATAATGGCGGTGATGACAATAATGGCGGTGGTAATAATGATGATGATATTGTTACAGCACCTACCATATCCCGCGAACGTAACCCCCGTAATAAGGAGAGAAAAGATTACAACATAGAGTTTTTATCAAAAAAATCTGTAAGTATAAATAGTATTAACAATAATAGTAATAATAGTTATATTAATAAATTTTACTTTATCTTTAGGCTTTACCATCACCATCATCGTCTTCCTCTTCAGCTACTCGGGGAAGCAGAAAAAGAAAAGGAGTCATCTGTTCAGGAAGTTGTCCTAAACACTGTAAAAGAAAAAAAATAAATAATAGGTAATTTTTTAATGTATCCGGCATCTGTGTGCCTTAAA